AGTCACCAGGAAACAGCTGTTGGAGGATTCAGGTATCATTTTTTGAGCCATTAAAGACCAAAACACGCTTGGGCGATCAGAATGCTGAAATATGATCCCTCGCAGCCTCGCATGAGGCTCCGCACTGAGTGAGGTGCCACATGAAGTAGGAACATCAGTTTCGGAGAGCTCGGCATTTGGAGAGCTCAGTGAGAATCCCTCAAGGCATCTGTGTACGATGTTGTAGAAGTGGCACAAGCGGGATCACAAACAAAAACATCAATGAATAACCTCTCTGAACAGAAGCGTCTTGGGTCGTCCGGTATTTCGTCACTTTCCAAGAACCAAAGCCGAGCCCCCCCAAAGCGGGCAAGCCTATGTCCCATCGCGTTGGGGGAATGCGCTCGTTTTCCTTCGCCGCAGGTGTCAAGAGCGCATGGCCCGCGAGAAGAGCGACGCCCGAGATGTACGGATCCCCAAACATCTCTGGGTGTGCCCCACAACGAAAGGCTTCGGGTCAACTCACATCTCACGGCTGTTTTTGAGAAAGGCCGTATTACGTTCCCATCATCCAGGCACTTATTCAAGCTTGGCTAGTCATTCATGATGACCAGATATATTGGATCTCCCATTTGTGTCCCATTTCCAGGGAGGCTATGTGAATTTCTTCACGAATCGTCACGAAGCGACGACAACACTTCACTCAGTTGCTTTTTTCAAAAGCAATCTACATACCTGGTAACCTGGGATGTACCTAGGGCCTGTTCCATTACCTGCAACAGTCGGTAAAGAGTTCTCTATTGTTGGGGTAAAAGACACTGGCCGCAGTCTCTGGCTGTGCCGCTGTCCTTCCTGCTGTCCTTCCTGCTGTCCTTCCTGCTGTCCTCCTGGTGTCCTGCTGTCCTCTGGCCGCCCCTCCTGCCCTCCTCGTGCCATGAGAGCTGTGGCCACGCTGAGTGGGCTTTCTTTTCCGCACGCATTGGCCCCGGGTCTTGTCCAGGCCTTGTCCGCTGCGCTGCTGTGGGCCCTGCGTTGTGCTTGTCCAGGCTGCTTGTCCGTGTTGTCGGCCCTTTTAACACCGCCTTGTCCAGGCCTTGTCCCCTGCTTGGCCACGCCACTTTCCCCTTCCCCGCCGCCTTGTCTGGGTATGCTATGAATGCAACAGTGGTGTAGAGAGTCAAATAGAATCATTTGCGGGTTTTCTCAGGACATATATATATATATATATACCAGGACCTTCCAACAGGTGGTTTTAGAAGCCTAACAGGTGGTTTCTGGGCACCTGTTGTCACCAGGAAGCACCTGTTGGAGGGTCCAGGTATATATAAATATGTTACTGTTATCCCTTCGTTTTTGGCACATGCGACCCGGCAAGCGGGAATTCCTTTCCATCAATGCCATTCTCAAACAACTGGAGCCCGGAAGCGGAGTATTACACACATGACCACCAACATTGGAATTCAAGGAGTTGACGCAAAACACTTTGCTTAAGCTGTTTGGGGTCTATGCCTGAATAATTTAGAGAAAGGCCTGCAACTGGACCATCATCGTTTACTGTTGCTGGTAAAGCATTGCAGCCGCTGTGGGGGTCCCACTTTTCCACCCGCAGACGAAGACACATTACGAAGACACATTCAAGCACAGCCACCTCTCCTCCCGCAATGTGAAGACGATTTCCGCAGACGAATTCTCCGAAGACGAATTAGACCCCGAAGACGAA